TTATCTTGACTATTCAATTTATCTCTTTCACAACTCTCCTCCTCTCTCCACTCTCCAACTCTTCTATTCTCCTCTCTAACTCTCCATCAACCCCTCTCTCCTCTTTTTTTTCTGTCTCCCTCTCTCTGTCTCATTGACTCCGCCCCTCCTGTCTTCTCATAGGCTCTTGAGCTTCAGCTATGATTGACAGGAGTGACATGGATATTCCACCACAGACTTTTCCTCCAGAAATCTGTCCAATCCCCTTTTAAAGGCATCTAGACCAGATGCCAGAACCACGTCCTCTGGCAATGAGTTCCACAGACTAACAACATGCTAGGTTTTCTTTTGCCTGTTCTCACTCTCCCAACATTCAATTTGAGTGGATGTCCCCTGGTTTCAGGTATTGCGTGAGAGTCACCTGTCCCCTGGTGGGCTCCATGACAAGTTGTGCCAAGGCACAGTCATTTAGCATGTCAGGAAACCTGGTTTCTCTTGACCCAAGCACGCATTGACCCGTGTGAACATATGTGAGGACCCATGTCAATGTGAGGATAATTGAAGTCTCCCATGATTACAATCCTGTCCTTCTTGGACACCTCCCTGATTTGTCTCCTCATTTCAAAGTCCCCCTCAAGTTTTTGTTCTGGAGGATGATAGCACACCTCCACTATCACATTGCTGCTTGGGCTCCTTAACCCATTGGTCCTTAACCCACAGTGATTCTATGATGGAGTTGGACCATATGTCCATATCTATTCTGCTGGATTCTCCCCCTTCTTTGACATAGATGGGCACCCCCCCTCCCTATCCCTCCTATAGAGTTTATATCCTGGGATTATGTTATCTCACTGGTTCTCCGAATTCCACCAGGTTTCCGTTATGGCCACTATATCAGTGTTATCCCTAGCCACCAAATGTTCCAGTCCTCCCATCTTTGCTCAGATGCTTTGGGCATTTGTATAAAAGCCCCTGTGTATGGGGTCCCCCAAGAAGGACTGCTTGTTTGTTTCTTTTTCCCACAGCTGCTAATTCCAGTGGATCAACTATCACATCACATCACGCTCCCAGTCCTAATTCCTACACTGTCATTGTCGTAAAAGCATTCCTTAGAACTGCCTTTACACGAGACAGAGAGGGATCCTGACTGATCCGTCCCTATTGCCAGCAAAATCGGGTCCTGTAATTTTGCCCTAGGCGACTTCTCACTCCTTCACCCAAGTCTGTCTCGATTTTAAATAAACAATCTGGAAAGTCTGCTCTTCCTTATTTATTACTTTATGACCCTAATTTGGTAGCGTAAACGCGGCCAGATCAAATAATATCTTTTTAAAGTAGCCAATTTTACCATAGTAGCTGTGGTCTAAACAAGGAGCCAACTTACAGACAATTTGTCTTTTTATCTTTTATTAAAACAAGATAGCATTCTAACAAACATACTAAAGCATAATAACATCATTAATTATTTCCAATACCCCAGTCTTCACCACCAGGTATTTCCTCTATAAAATGAAAATAATAACCAGTCTAACTATATCTTAAATTAACATTCTTACGCAGTCTTCAAATTAAAGTTCTGCCAGATGCATCTCTCTCCGTGTGTCGTCTCTGGCTGTCGTGAAAGCAAACTCTCCCCCATCTCTCTTCTCCGTCCTTCTGCTCTCTCTTCGCCCATCTTTCTTAAATTAAGCCGTTGTGTCCTTGTCCGTTGGAGTTTTGATAAGATAAGGGTCATCTTGTTCTTTACTTTTTTATCTTCTGCTGGAAAAAGAACTGACTTGTACACTTTTTTCTTCCTAATTAACACCTGGACATCAGTCAGCTTCTAGTTGTTTCATTGCTGTAATGAAACAAAATCCATCTCTATTCTACTTTTATAATTTTCATAATCAAATTCATGACAGTCATCACTTTATGGTTTTCTACCCTCTCTACCCTCATTCCACAGAGATGAGGAGTCTGGAACCGGACACCACTCAGCTCCTGTTGGCTTTCCTCCAGGATTCAGTTTAAAAGCTGCTCTGCCCCCTTTTTAATGTTATGTGCCAGCAGTCTGATTCTGTGTTCGTTCAAGTGAGGCCTGTCTCTCTTGTACAGGCCCGGCTTGATTCAAAATGTTCCCCAGTTCCTAATGAATCTAAACCCCTCCCCCTGACACCACTGTCTCACCTCTGTGTTGAGACCCCTGAGCTCCGCCTGCCTAGCTGGCCTTGCACATGGAACAGGTAGCACTCCTGAGAACGTTACTTTGAGATCCTGGCTTTGAGCTTCCTCCCTAACAACCTAAATTTGGCCTCCAGGACCTTGCGGTTACATTTCCCCAAATCATTGGTGCTGACATGCACCACCACTGCTACCTCATCCCTAGCACTCTCTACCAGCCTACCCAGACGAGACGTGATGTCTGCAACCTTTGCATCAGGCAGGCAAGTCGTCACTGTGCGATTTTCACAACCATGACAGACCCCCTCACTCTATCTTCCTGACAACTGAATCGCACACAACCAGAAGACTCCTTCCCCCCTCCCCTCAAGGAGTACCCTCAGTGCAACTAGACACGGGCCCGTCAGCTGTAGCAGGGAGTCCCCTTTAGGGGATGGTTTCCCTCTTGTCCAGATTGGCGTCCTCTAGCTTGGAGACTTCCAGTCCCAGCAGCCAAGGAATTGCTTGTCTGTGGGTGGGACAATGCCTGAAGGTCCCTGGAAGTCTCATTGTGGTCCCTCTCTCCCTGTCTTTGCTTCTCCGGATTTGCAACCAAGACCTCAAGGGAGCGAACCTGTTCCTTGAGTTATTGGAGTTCCTTGCAACAAGGATACACCCATGATTTTTGCCCAAGAGGCATATAATCATACATATGATATTCAGTGCAAAACATCGGGTAGCCCCCAACCCACTGCTGTCTGTCTGACTGCATGCTGATTCACAAGCCTAAAGTGTTTATACATGAGACTATTGCATTGTTCGAAATCAGTTGTAACTAGTTCCCAATATGAACGATGAGTGCATATTCCCATAGCCACAGCATAGGTATGAAAAGAACACTCAACACAGAGCATCTTCGATATAATGAAATTTAATTTTGTTTTCTGCTTGCTAATTTCTAGGGCACCCAATAAAAACTGCATTAATTTGAAAGGTGATAAGTCCACATGAAGTGCTCTTTGCGTAATTGTCAGTAATATCTCCTTTCACTGATTAGGGTGAATCACTCCTTGAATTCCTTTCCTGATTAAACTTCTGCTTTTCTTTAGCAATACTGAACTATCACCCAAAATTTAGAATACATTGAAACAGGATAAGGCAGAAACATTTTGTAATAGCCTCTTTCAAGGATTCCTCAGAATTTCAAACTATTAAAAGTAGTAGAAAACAATGGTGTTGTGTTGGGTCATTTAACACATAAATCCTACAGCTGGCAATACTTTCCTTAGGACCAACTGAACAATTTGGAAAGCTGAAAAGCTTGAACTTGCAAAGTTGCCTTTTTGTGGCATTTTGGTTGTAATAAAGGTATTGCCCAGCTATGAGTGACACGTGCTAGTTCTAATACAGTGGTGCCCCGCATGACGATGATAATCAATTCCATAGAAATCGCTGTCTTGTGAAAACATCATCTTGCGAAAACCGTTTCCCCATTGGAATGGGGAAATAGTCGTCGTTTTGTGGATATTGTCCATAGGGGAGCCATTTTGCGAAGCGTCGATCAGCTGTTAAAATGGCTGTCCTGCGAAGCATCGGTCCCGAAAACACCCGTTTTGCGAAGATCGCCCATTGGGAAGCCATTTTGTGGAGCCGCTGATCAGCTGTAAAAATCGTCATCTTGTGAGAAACGGTTTGCGAAGCACGCCACCAAACATCGTCCAGCGAAAATCACCCATTGGAATCACTGTTTTGCGAATCGTTATAGTGATCGCCAAACCTCATCGTCATGCGGATTCGTCGTTTTGTGAGGTCGGCGTCTAGCGGGGCACCACTGTAGTATTTCATCATTTTCATTTTAGAACTACAGAGCTGAAAGGGACCCTATGGATCATTGAGTCCAGCCTCTGTCAAGAAGGCACAGTAGGGAGTCAAACTCCCAACCATACCTAAACCACTGAGCTAACCAGTTCTTATAAAGTATAAAGATAGTTCTATATGCTAATGGTCAAACAGACAATACATTTAGCACGTTTTTAGAAGAGATGCTACTACAAGTGATAAGACACTTAATTGTTGTAACATGATTTTTCTGACTTCGGCTGCAACTACATAGTCAAATATTGCAGAATTTACTGTGGATGGAAAATGAGTGTTTTTAATTTTTTTTTATATACTAATCATGATGCAAAGGCTAATTCAAATCAGTTCAGATTTCTCTCTCTGCTGCTAGGGGCTTCTAATTTTTCAAGCCAGAACTATTCAAACAGACTTTTCTATGAGTGATCAGTTATTTTTTTCTCCAAAAAAGATGAGGTGTGTGACTTTGGGTGGTATTCTGGTCATGAACTAAGCTGTTATGGAACAGATGCAACTCCAGTGAACTACACTAGACTACTGTGTTTCCATTGTATTTGCATATGTGGTTATTGTAGGTTTTTCGGGCTTTTTAGTTGTGTTCTGGAGGTTTTTCTTCCTAACATTTCACCAGTGTCTGTGGCTGGCACCTTCAGAGGACAGGAGTTAGAACTATGTCTGTGTTCTGGTGTACGGTGTGGGATAGTTGAGTATTTGTAGCTGTGGGATCAGCTTTTTGTCCTTTTCAGGAGATTGGGTGGTTATGGTGACTGGGGTGGTTTTTGTTATGGGTGTATTGTTGTGATAAGGGAGGAGATGATCTGTCACTGTGATTGATGGGTGTGGCAGGTAGAGATTGTTGACCTTTTTGCAGGCTGCATTTTTCAGTGCTGGGAGCCAGGCTTTATTGAGTTTTAGACTTTCTTCTTTTTTATTGAAGGTTTACTGATGTTTGTGGATTTCAATGGCTTCCCTGTGTAGTCTAACATAATGATTGCTGGTGTTGTCCAGTACTACTGTGTTTTGAAATAGGTTTTCATGTCCAGCTTGTTTCAGGGCATGGTCAGCTACTGCCGATTTTTCTGGTTCTTTTAGTCTGCAGTGTCTTTCATGTTCTTTGATTCTGGTGTGGATGCTGCGTTTTGTGGTCCCAATATATACCTGGCCACAACTGCAAGGTATTCTGTATACTCCTACAGTGGTGAGGGGGACCCTTTTGTCCTTTGCTGACTGTAACATTTGATTTATTTTTGTGGTGGGCCTGAACACTGTTTGTAGGTTGTGTTTTTTCAAGTTTCCCCCTTTGATGTATGGCAGAATTACCTTATTTGTGGGTGTTTTTCTTCTTCAGTTGTTGTTTTCTCAGTTTGATGGCTCTTGTGATTTCATTCTTGGAATAGCCATTTGCCTGTAGGGCCCAATTCAAATGGTTGAGTTCAGAGCTATGAAATCGAGCTTCACAGTTCTGATTTGCACAATCTAGCAGTGTTTGATTAAGCCTCTTTTGTTTAGGGTGCTGGTTGGTTGGTGTTTTTCTGTAGGTAGTGGTGTGTGGGGTTTTTTTTTTATAGACCTTGTGTCTCAATAGGAGGTCAGTTTTGTGTATGACCATGACATCTAAGAAAGGAAGTTGGCCTTCTATTTCTTGTTCTATGGTAAATTGTCTAATTTGGGTGGATGCTATTGAGATGATTTAGAAATTCTTTGGCTCCAAATTGCAAAGGTGTCATCCACGTATCGGAACCAGACTGTGGGTGCAAAGGGTGCAGAAGCCAGGGCCTGTTTTTCAAAATGTCCCATGTAGAAGTTCACTATAACTGGGCTGAGGGGGCTCCCCATGGCCACTCCATTTGCCTGTTCATAGAACACAGCCAAACATCCTGATAAACCTACAACAACGATTGGATCCTAGCCATGAAAGCCTTCAAGAATATTTGCATATGTGTTTGTACATTATGGAGAACTTTGGGAAACTGTCCCTTTCTCCTAAAACTGTACTTTAAACAGCTCACTGGATTTGCAATGAACAACAACAACAACAAACAAACAAAAGAAGAAGAAGAAGAGGAAAGCTAGGGATTGATACACAGTGGAATCAAAGAAAGGGAGGTTGTGGCATGGATCAAATGATATCAAATTGAGGGGCCACAAGCACAAAAAAACTAGTCTCCATGTGATCACTTAATCCAAGCAGAAACATAAACTATGCTGTGAATTAAACTGCAGCAAGCCAAATCAGTCTAATTCAGCTTGCTATTGTTTATTTATAGCTAGTGTTGTCATAGCCATCTTTATTTTGCTTTTAGTATGCTTTATATTTCGATTGCTCTTTGGGCGGTAGAAACAGGCTTTATTTAAAAATCTTAATTTGCAAGGCATGTATCTCAAAAATCTTTTTTTCAGGCAAAAAAAATTGAAAACAATTGAAATATATTATTGTAATGAGTTTATTATAGGAACATAAATTCCCTTTAAATTGCAGTTTCACCCTAAGCAATTAAGCATTTTTGTTTGCTTTTTTATTGCTTTGTCTTATATTGAAATTATCTGATCTGTAGGTTTTAAAAAGTAATGCCATATGTGCCCCTTACCAAGCTGCATATATTGACCTAATGTTTGGAGTAAGGGGACTTGTCATTTCAGGTGTTCTCCAGCCCCTCTTATCTTCCCTCACCATTGCCAATGCTGGCTAGGACAGAAAAGAGAACTCTTGGGGATGGGGCTGTTCCAATCACAAGCCACCTGTGCTTTCAAGACAATTATACCATGCTCAGTGGTTTAATCCATCTGGTGGTCCACGTATTGCATGCCCTTGAATGGCACTAATAGCAGTCTGGTGAAACGTTTGACTAAAGAGATGATACCTTTTCATCAGCTTAAAGGAACATCCATGGTAGTAGGTTCTGAGAATATTTTAAGTTTACATTCAGTTCATGTGGCTGAACTTCCCTGGTGGAATAATCTCTGCAGTTGCAGAAGCAACTATTGTTGATGAATGGCAAACATTCTCATTTTTCTTTGGAACCAATAATTGCATACCCAGGCAGGAAGCCCAGTCACTTAGGTCCTCAGGGGAAAAAAAATACAGCACATCAATTTTTAAGAGAAACTGCATTCCATAACTTTATTTGCTACAACTATATCCACCTGGTGCAGGATTGAGTCCTGACTCTAGGCATTGGCAGACGCAATTGTCAGTCAAAGACATAGCCCCAATCCAAGGCTGGAAAAACTATTTGAATGACAGTGACTGGGGCACCACCCGGGCACTTGACCACTTGGTGAGGCGCCTCATATTTGGGATGAATTCCCGCATGGCCATCCCTCAAGATCTCTAACTGGTCTCACCTCATGATTCCCACACTACAGGAATGTGGGCATGATGGCCCATTCCAAATTAGATCTAGCCAAGTGATCCAAATTGCTACCACTAAAAGTAGTGACAAGATGCAGCTGTTTAACAAATTGAAAAGTGCCAGCCCCTTGTCCTGTTTCTCCTCATCCTCTGATGCCCATATCTATATATGAGCAAAGGGGGTTAGCAAAGCTCCAAAGCTCACCGATGCCTGTTGGAAGCAGTGTTTTTATGCTGCAAGATTTGACCAGAAGACCCTCTCATCCGTTCCTGAAAGTCCTGCCCTAGTCCACTCTTCTTTTCCCTGACTGGCTAGTCAGGTGTGCTAATAACCTTCTGGGAACCACCAAGGCCACATGGCCCACTGCCTTTGCCCTTTCTTTGCCCTACATCATGTGGCCAACAGAATACAAGTAGGTGACTTGGGGAATCCTTGCTTCTTTGCGTAGCTGTTTTAAGTATTTCCTGCAGAAGATTATTCCCACCTGTTATATTGGAACAAATGATTATTTGTCTTTTATACGGACATACAGGCAGTAACATTGCTTTGTTATATTGAGAACTGTGTTGTTTGTTCAACTTTTGGCTACTGATACAGGCCATAGTAAAGAGTTGTTGGAGCCATAGAAGAGTTGCATACTGTTAGCTGGCAGGATTCTGAAACACAGGTAACAGACTTCCTATCAAGCATGAATGGGGAGTGGATGATGGACCCTGTACATTGCACTCATCTGTGAATTTGTTAGTTAAGCATGCTTTAAACTTGATGGGCATCTTGTACAGGAAACCATCACTGTGTACTCTATGACTAGATTTGCTGCTTTGGTGGCAACAATGGTGGAAATAGGGCAATTTTCCCCCTTTTATTTAAGATGTACTCTCCCTGCATACTTTATTTCCGATTGAAATTGGCACGTTCTCATTTATTTGCTCTCTGCGAATAAGACCCTCATCTCACATGACAAAATATGGCAGTGAAAGAACTGGGGGATTATTATCCATAGAAGGCATCTGCATCTGTATTAAACTCAGATATTTCAAAAATATCCATAAGAAATTTTGTAATATGGCCTAGGCAGAAAGTAATATTTTGGAGAAAAGTTTCAAAGTCTGAAATCTTAAGTGCATTTACTGGGTAGCAAGTTGCCACTATTGAACAATCTGTTAAGTCCTGACATATTTCATATATATAAAATATATGAGAACCCTATTTGATGTTTTTAAAAGGTTTTTATAACCTCTCTATACAGGATAACAAACAAGTTTCTATAGTTTTGATTTCACTGTTTGTGTGAAGATTTTCCCCAATCACTGAGATCTTGTTCAGTTGTTTCCAAAGAACTACATACACGTACTTGGCAGTGTTATAGAAATAATTAAGTGCCCCTTATTTAATCTAATTTCATGCAATCTTAATAAATAAACTGGTCAGTTATGAGAGTGGCTACAGCAACAAAGTATAAAACCCACAAAATACAATGGGACAAAAGTCTGAATAAAACTGTGTATAGTTGCACGTTATAGTAAATATACAGGTTGCATGTTTAGTGAAATAGCAGTGGTGGTGAAGATTTTACAGTCCTGATTTTTGTTTTCATAATCTATTTGTGTACTGTGATTTTAGTATCTGGAACATTTCAAGAAGAGTGAAAGAAACACAGAAGATGGAGTCATAAGACTACCTGTGCAGAGTTCTACAGTGAAGTGTGGGCCTAAATGAGGGGTAAGCAACTGTGGCCCTCCAGATGTTGCAACCCTCATCGCCCTATCCTGCAGAGCCCATGGTGAAGGATTGTAGAACTTGAAGTCTACTTGAAGAGCCACATTTGTCCACCCCTAATTGAGGCCAGTTTTCTCTGGATAGAACATGTATTTATGATATATTCTGTGCCTGGTTTGTGTCCATATCGATCAGACTCTTCTCCCTTTACATGAAGTTCTTTACTTTTTAATTTCTACAATGAATGAAACAACAGCAGGAGACAACCTGCTGCCATATCCACAACTGTAGCAACATTTTTTTCTAGCCAGCACTACAACCACAGTGTTACAGTATTTCTATGGAGGTTTCTAATTGAAATTCTTTGTTGAGGAACTGGATTTGTTTGAATGTTTGGGAGAACTAGGTTTCCAAACACAGTTATTGCCACAGTTGGGACCAATGCTTAATAATTCTGTTATTTATTATTACTGAAATTAATATTTGGCATTCATTACACTCACTGAACATACCTGAAAATCTGTACGGGCATTCCTGTAATTAAAAATGCTCTGCTTTGGTCATGTTTCATGATAACAAAGGTGTACGTAATATGTGCAAACCACAAATTGTGTGTATCAGACACAACAATAAATTTGTAGTATTTACCATAATCCGTATATACACCATCAGCTAATTTTTGGCTTTGGTCATCTAAGACCTGTCCATTTGGATGTCTTTTTTTAAACTTCTGCTTCCAAACATTTTACATGTGTTTCAGGCTTGGGCTGAGGTTCTTCTGCTTTTTTCCCATTCATTGGTTCTTGTTCTGGAGTTTTGCCAGTTGTCTTTGTTTCTTTGATCTTCTTGGTCTCAATTTCTTCTTTCTTCTCCTCCTTGTTTGAAAATGGAAAAGTTTGCTTGTATCTTTAAAAAAAAAAAGGAAAGTTAATATTTGTGAGAGCTGGACAGGAAGGCAATAGATACCTCCTGTCAGAGTGCTAAACCCCCTCCCCTGGAAAACCTCTGATGCCCAGGCCACAGAACCTGTGCACAAGGGGGGGGAGCCCCCAGGAATGGAGATCAGAAGACAGAATGAGAAAAAGGTGGGAAACCTAAGAGAAATAAGGTAAGGTAAAGGTTCCACTTGACATTTTTAGTCCAGTTGTGTCCAACTCTAGAGGGCGGTGCTCATCCCGTTTTTCAAGCTGTAGAGCCAGCGCTTGTCCGAAGACAGTCTCCGTTGTCACATGGCCAGCATGACTAGGGAACATCGTTTTACCTTCCCACTGAGGTGGTACCTATTTATCTACTCGCATTTGCATGCTTTCGAACTGCTAGGCTGGTGAGGAGCTGGGACAAAGCGATGGGAGCTCACTCCGTCGCGTGGATTTGATCTTACGACTGCTGGTCTTCTGACCCTGCAGCACAGGTTTCTGGGGTTTATCCCACAGTGCCACCACGTCCCTTAAGGGAAAAAAAGGAGATGGCAAAAGGAAAGGAAGGGAATGAGTATGCCCAGGGAGCAATAGGAGGAACTAGTTCAAAAGAAGCAGAGGCTGGGACTGTGGAGCCACATAGGGAAAAGGGATTCTTGCCCCCAGGCTGGGAATGGGTTTGGCAAGTGAATGCCTGCATACAAACATGGGAGGGCAGAGAAGTCATAAACCACCTAAGAAACTCTCTTATGGGAGTGAAGAGAAGAGAGAGAGGAGATGCCTGCATACAAACATGGGAGGGCAGAGTGAAGAGAAGAGAGAGAGGAAGAGATGAAAGCAAGAGGTGACAGCCCTAGAAGACATAGAACAGAGATGGGATTCACCATGGAGACTATGTATCCCAAACCCTCAGCCCCAAATGCTTTATGTACTGCAGCGACCAAAGCAATCTCCTGAACTGCAGATCCTGGTGTTGGGGCTTGGCATGATAGTCTCAATGGTGGCTTCTGTTCTCTGGAGAAGCCTACCAGAGGCAAATTGTGTGAACCAAATGTGCAGCTCTAAAGCTATTTTTCAGAGAGCAATTGTTGTTTTAACTGGTTACTGATTAGTCAAATAGAAACATTGTATATATGTACAAATGGTACCTATTTTACATCCCTGTTACATTGTTATTATTTTCTATACAGTTATGCATTGTATTCCTTGAGGCAACTTTAAGGAAAACAAATATGTGAGCATGCATATTAGTAGTAATGATCATCGAACATAAGTGATGAATGTCAGGGATTTTAAAACCAGAATACACAGTTCACCTGCACAATTAGAGTGAAGCTAGTGTATGTGCACAAGGGATGTGGTGGCGCTGCGGGTTAAATCGTAGAAGCCTCTGTGCTGCAAGGTCAGAAGACCAGCAATCAAAAGATCAAATCCACGGGATGGGACGGAGTGCGCTCCCAACGCTTGTCCCAGCTCCTGCCAACCTAGCAGTTCGAAAGCATGTAAATGTGAATAGATACAGTAAATAGGTACCACCATGGTGGGAAGCTAACGGTGTTCCATGTCTAGTCACGCTGGCCACATGACCACAAAAACTGTTTTCAGAGAAACGCTGGCTCTATGGCTTGGAAACGGGGATGAGCATTGCGCCCTAGAGTCGGACACGACTGGACTAAATGTCAAGGGGAACCTTTACCTTTACCCAGTGTATGTGCATTTGTGTAAAGGGAGAAAGTTTGTACTTTGGAAATGGAAGGGCAAGAAGAATAAATAATCATTGTTTGGATCCATCTTTTATTCCCCAAACAGAAATGTTCCTATTTCTGTTTGTGTGCCGTTTGTGTTGTCATCATTACTATACATTTATTCCCCAAACAGAAATGTTCCTATTTCTTCTGCTAGGAGAAATAGGTGCCATTTGTGTTGTCATCATTACTATACATATTTTAAAAGGATATTTGCCCAGGGAGAGGTCTTTTCCTTCTCTGTTTTGATATTGTTGCACACAGTTTCAGGATTTGTGCAACCAAGAAGCAGTACAGAAATATTACTAATATTAATGACAAAGGAGATGGTCAGAAATGAAGTAAACAGTGTACTTTCTTGGCTTTGGGCGTGGTATCCTGGTAGGGTATCCGGATCTCAGGATTCTCACTGAAATCTCGATGAATTGTTTTGCTTCCTTGGATCTCCATGGAGACAAACTTGAGGGTGGGTGGTGCATTTTTTTGTTTGTGAGGTATCTTTTAAATCTATATTATCCTCATTAATTTCCAGCTGGAGCCAGAATCCATGGATTCATCATTAAGGTTATTTGTATGTTTGTTTTCCGTGCTTTTCTCCAAACCCTTGCCTGTCCTACCTTTTGAGTAACACGAAGATGCACACCTATGATATCACAAAGGCCTGCCCCTGGCCATAGGTCTTGGCCCAGAAATCTCAGAGAATAGGATACTATTGCCTGGCAACCCTAGATCCTGTTAAGAGGAAAGTCTTTTTCTGTTTCTTTACAGTAGGGTATCTAAAGTGTCATGTGATTACTTTATTGAATTCTTCTCCCTTTTTCTTTTTTTTGTGGTTAGTTGAAATGATGTGTTCTGTTTTTGGATCTCTTAATACAATGAGCTATTTAGTGAATGTGAAGATAATACTTTTACAAGAAATTAATATTGCTAATTGATATTTTGGAATGTTTTGAGCTCATTTAATCTATTTTTCAAATGAACAGTAACTTAATAGTCATATAAATTGTAATGTATGATGTGCATTTTAGAGACAAGATTTTTGGAATTGAAGGACTCCTAGTCCCATAATTCAGCAGGAAACTCCAGGCTAAATTATGGGACTGGAAAACTTCAAACTCCCTCTGTTAGAACTCATTCCCTCATGCGACTCACAGGGAATCCTCAAGACTCCCACAGTGCATCACGGACTTTTCTAACAGTTTGACGAAGCAGTGCAGGAACAGCATGGAAGTGAAAGGGCTGCTGTACCACCTACTAGTTTGAGGGTTCCCAGTCCCATAATACACCAAATTATGGGAATAGGACTCCTTGTATTTGAAAATCTCATTCCTAGTAGCTGTTTTCTTTGTTTTTTCCCCCCTGTAAATCAGTTTCAAACATAATGTATTTGGGAAAACATGATGCACAAATATATTAACTCTGGCTATCACTTCCAACTTTGTGCCGTGTGCACATTTTGCAGCTTTCCTTCTGTGTCCTCATCCAGATCAGCTACCGACATGGTGAACAGCACAAGGCACAGGTGAGAGGCCTATGGTGGTGTATAACTTCCATCCATTTCATCCTTGGTATGGAGTTGGTGTTTTATGCAAAATTAAAAGCCGCACTATAAGATTTTTTTTTTTGTTAGTGTGGTGTGTGCTGTCTTTGCATATCCAATGGGAAAAAGGAAGGAATATGTCATAAAGGCCCATTTGGGTTCCCGTGCCTTCTCAGTACTTTTTATATGAAGTGACGCATGTGCATGTATAATTATTAAGAATATGCCTTATCTGTATTATATTTCTGGTATAAATGCACAAATAAAGGAAGATATTTACCAATAAAGAATTAAGATGTTAGCACACGCAAGGCATTCTACATGCAGAGAGAAGAAGGCCCAGAATCAAGTTCACTCAAATGCCAAACATGTCTAGAGCATGCACATCAAGACACAGTGTGAAGTATTGTGTTAAGTCATATTAAAATATACATGAATATTTTAAGAAAATATAATATTGTGATCACAATTGTGTGGAAGCAAAAAGCAACAGTGATACTTACTTTCTGATATAGCAGACAGCTAAAAGTACTGAAACTACAAAGAAGATAAGGGCAAGGACAAGAAGAGCAATGGGTACACCTAGAGAGAAAAACAAATAGATCACAAACCTTGAGTAATCATTTACATTGTCTGGTGGTTCCCATAGGCTGGTCAACATTCATTAATGATTCATGGAAGACTGCTTAAGATGCTGTCTTTGGCTATAAAATTGTTTATAGTTTGGGACTCAAATATTGGAAACACCAGCTGTCCTGATATCAGAGACCCAGCTGTATTTGGCAGCCTGAACTCTGGTGTGATTGCCCTCTCTTCAAGATGGCCTTTATAGCTATGCCATCTCCTCACTCCCATTTCACTTCTCTCTTCATACAAGCAGGTAAGCATATTAAGAAGGTTAAGGATACCTTCATGAGAACTCTGAACCCAGGACTATGAATAATTGCTCTAGACTAGCCCAAATGTAACACCTGCTTTATAGCTGGCTTGCAATCATAGGTATACTTTGAGTAATTAATAGTCCAGGGTTTCAGCATCATCGGGAAATATGCTTAGTTTCAACTGTGTAGTTTGTGGGTTTCTATGTTACATTTTAAGTATTTTAAAAGCATTTATTGAAAAATATATTTATCCAATTTACTATATACAAAAAGGATCAATTCAATACGAAGGAAAAGAATTCCACTAAAAGTAGTTGAAAAGTTGCTGTTAAAGCTCACCAAATTTGTCAGGTTTATGGTTTCTTTACCCACATGTTTAAAAAAGAGTGAAGTGGCTTCATGCATGAGTGTGCTGCTCATGCACATGTTCATTTAATAAGCTAGGACTCATATTTTGCTGTGCTGCTTCAATGCAGCCAGTGAAGATCAGAAAATATTTGTTAGTATGTCTTTATTTTTATTTTATTTATGAGATTGAAGGTGGGGGGGAAACAAGAGCAAAACAGACCCCCTAGGTTCCTTCTAAAAGACTCAGGTAGAAAAATGACAAATGTTATTACCAAGACATTCTGAGTGGAAGACTTTGAAGCCACTTATCTAAACCAGCATTCCTGAACTGAAAAAAACAAATGAACGCCTCCTGCTTCAGCTCATAACTATTTGTCATGCTGTCAGCAGCCACAATGACTTGCTGTGTCGCCTTTTTAGAAGATGGAATGTCAATTTTATCTGAAAACTGCAACCTAGCTAACGACTCCATCACCACCAAAATGAACAAAAACCTCCCCCTTTTTTTGCTTAAGACAGGAAAATAAAATTGTCTTAATGCATGGCTTTTCATCAGAAGGAGGGGGAAATCTAGTGATATGTGGGGAAAATAAACAGAACTCCAGAGATATTTGTGCAAGCCTTGTACAGTATTTTTTTAACTGTTATTGACTCGAACTGTGTAACCCCCTAACGAGTGGTTCCCAATCTTGGGAGTTGGAGTGCAACTCCCAGAAACCTTGGTCAGTACAGCTTTTGATGTAGCCTTCTGGGAATTGCAGCACAAGAACACCTGGGTTACCCAAGGTTTGGAACCAATGCCCTAAAACATGTGCAAAATAACTCCCAATTACTAACACACATATGGTTTCTGTTAAACCAGCATCGGAGATAAGTACTATAAACCACTAATGGGTGATAAACGGAAAGATAATCAGGTAGATGTAGCATTCAAGTACAGTATTCTGGAGCACTGTTTATCAGGCTAGCAGAGTGGGGGTTGGTGGGAAGGGATGCAGAAAAGTACTCTTAAATAATCTTAGCCAGATGTTGAAGCCAGTCTCTTTTTTAAAAAGTCAGCTAAAAAATGGAGTCTGCCACAATGCTAAAGTTGGAGATAGAATAGGTCCAGTGGAAGTTATGGGAAAGTTGACTCACCAAGTCGCTACTGAACCAATGGGCCTACTCTAATGCCTCGTGGTGCAGTGGTTAAAATGCTGTACTGCAGCTAAAACTGTGCTCACGACCTGGGGTTCAAATCCCAGGTAGCCGGCTCAAGGTTGACTCAGCCTTCCATCCTTCCGAGGTCGGTAAAATGAGTACCCAGCTTGCTGGGGAGGCAATGTGTAGCCTGTATAATTAAAAATGTAAACTGCCCGGAGAGTGCTTGTAGCGCTATGGGGCGGTATATTAGTCCAATAAATAAATAAAATAAATAAATAAATAATGCAATTTGTTACACTAAGCACCATTGTTTTGTCTTTTGAAGTTTAATAAAAATAGTCATAGCCATAGTTTTTGGATTTTGCACAAGAACCACATAGCCTCCTTGTGTGTGTAGGCTCTTATTTCTTCCCATTTCGTCTCCAAGATGTGGTTATTTTTTCCTTTGTTACAAAAAGAGATAGTCACAACATAGTTCCATTATGGCTGCAAGTACACACTGCTCCTGAAAAATAACTTTAGGTAGTTTTGTAAACCAAATTTGGATTTTTCTCTTAACCTATCAGTTAATGGATTTCTCAAAGTTAGTTTTCTTTTTTTATTACCAGCTCCTCAGTAGATACAAATAGGTTGCCATTTGAGCATGCTTTGTAACAGAAAACTTTGTTAGGGCTTGGTTACATTGCCAATTTGTATAAGGTTAAGCTCTGATGTGTTTTAAATCGATTTACATTCATGTGGTTTATGTATTGCTGTGTGTGTTCACTTTGAAAATTATTACTCCAATATAAAGTAGGGGCTTAAAACAACTTGAGCTTTCAAATTGTTTCATTAACTAGCAAGTTTGCAGACATGCTTTCAATATTGTAATCTGTTTAGAATTGTTGCATTTGAGGCTTTGTCCTGTGCCCACTCACCCTTGTGCTGGTTGCCTCCCATAGGTACTTGCTGCTTCTGCTGTGAACTTGTGTTTAATTTTTAATATTTTCCCCCCAGTGGAATAGCGATAGTCTGACATGACAATGGAAATTCACCAGCCAGCAAAGAGAAAGGAGGAAAGCTCTTCCTCCTCCTTGGCAAGCAAAGAAGCTCCTAATACTCTAAGTTTCTCTGGTCAGTTTCACCTTATTTAAGCAAGACTAGATTCAACAGTTGTTCTTATTGCCAGTATAACCAAGCCCTTAATTGCATTTAGTTGGGTAAACACATCCTTTACTGTGATCAGAAGTGGTGGAAGATACACTATTGCTGTTTCAATTTTGTCCTTTAGGAAAATACACCAAGGGCATGTTTCTCTTTGCAATAATCTCTGTTTTGGACTATGTCACCATGCTTGTTCTTACTCTCAGGTTACCAATTGCATCCACATGGAGATCAGCTGAATTCAATTAACAATCCTATATAATTTACAAAAAGAGTTGCTGGAAACACCATTACAATAAGGGGCACCTTGAGCTACCTATAAGAAAACCCAATGCAGCCTGAAACACAAGTGATGCTACACTATGCTGAGTAACATTTTGTATTCAGAAACCATAATTAAGATCCAAAATACAAATGAATTTCGGAACATGTGTAAATAGATGTATAAATTTATTCAAATAGATCCCATTGAAAAGAACTATTTGGGAAGCTCAGGAAAAGGTCACACTTAATTCCTTATTTTAGTATAGTTCAACAGAACTAATATGAATATGTTTAGAAACTGTCTTAAGAAGTTTGCTAATCATCAATATAGAGACGGTGAGCAAACCCAGTTAATAGTAATATTTAACATTCATTAAGTGCATTAATGTACTGAAAGTTCTTTGCATGTATTACCTAGCTGGTCAAGCTGCACAGTCTCTGAATGCCCCTAGAAGAATGGAATGGTAAATCACTTTTGAGTATTCTGTACCTAGGAAACTCTGGAAAGGGTCACCATGTTGGAATCAATGTGGCAGCATGTCATTAGTAATATTATTATTAATTCTTAACACAATCCCTGTAAGTCAGTGGATTCAAAGGTTTTGAGCAGCATGTCTTCTTTTTAATTACTGGGAGACCCACACAATTGCACACCTCTTTTTACTATCACTGAATTTCCTTTTAAAACAAATGTCAATTTCTAATTTAAAATTAAAAATGAACAACAATCCACAGGGCATGTCCATCCCCATTTGGAAACCTATGCTGTAATGTAAGTCAGGATTCAGGAAGTGAGAACAAACAAATATAGAATTTTGGGCCAAAGAAACAAAATTCTCATCCATTCCTGTTCACAACTCTTTTAACTACCATGGTATACTAGCCATTGGGTGCCTTTTTAAAACTGTAAAACATTTCCTTTAAATATGTAAAAAAATAAAGAATATGCTTGCATTCCTGATTTAGTTTTATTGTACGTTCTGTACAGTTTTGATTCATCTTCTCACTGGAAAAGAACACATTTCCTTAGCCCTCTTACAAACATCTGGCATTTTTAGAACCTCCTCTGTGCCCCAGCCACCTTCTCACTTCCATCTTTGTAACATACTAATGGCCAAAGATCAGACTTGCACCAGAACAGTGTCAAACAACTATACTGTAAATTGAAACAAAGCAGCAAATAACAGCATGTAGCCTTTACCTCCAAACTGGATGCCCTCATTTTTAAAGGCGGTTCGTTTGTTGGGTGAAAATATGAGTTCTTCTTCAGTAGTTGGCTTTGGTGTTAACATTTCTGTGACACATATAACGCGATACAGTTTCTGAGGACTTTTGGTCTGCAGAAGACTTTTGGTTTGCAGTAATTCCGAGGTTTGATGTATTGCTGAAGTGTCCTGAGGTAAGAGCGTTGAGGTAGAGTTCATCTCAGTAGAAATATCTGTTAATGCAACTGTATTTGCTTCTGGAATGCAAGAATTGATCCATGTGTCTGAAAAGTACAATGAGATGTACTGACATATTTGACATGTGCTTTATAACAAATACATATAAATGCAACATACATCTTTCCAGGCGCTGCAGTTAATTGGAATAGACCATGTTTTGTTTTTCATTATCAATTGTGTTTAGAATGCTTTTCATACAGTAGATACTATCATGATTTACTCTAATAGCAAACTCAAGTTGACCATGGTGACAGGACTAGAGTGATAGTGTTGTCTGGTGAAATTGGGGATAGATAGGAAGAAGAGAGGAACAATTTTCTTTGGAGACAGAGCAAGAATGGAAAGCATTAAATCCCCCAATTTCTCACACTGAAAATAGACTGCCATTTAAAACAAAAACTTGCATATTAACAGCTTGTACATAGTTAATGTCATATCTAGTTTGACCATAAGGCCAAGAAATACTGATTAAGAAGGGTGCCCATTATGCCGAAAGGGAAATAGCCATGGAATTTGTAGCGATTTTAAAACATGGCATCTGGTATGCTGGCATACTGAAATAAATGCAGAAGGAGAACTGGGCTGCAAATGATTTTTTCAGGAATAGCTAATCCCTTATTTTTAAGAAAAAGTTGGCATGTTTTATACAGATTGAAAGCTCTTCTAGTAGGAATGACTAGCTGAATACATAGTAATAAAGGAGGGAAATGACCTCTGTGGCATTCTCAATATGAATCCCAGGTGGGGACTCTGGTGACGCATTTTCATTGACTGAAGAGGATGCTGAATGACAGTGATATTGCTTTCTGCACCACAACCTTTAAGAGATGCTGTGAACCAAAGAGGTGGGCAGGGACAGCGGGACAAAATGTGAAGTGATTTGAGTTCAGATTCATTTTCTGTCAAGACTACTGGTGGTAGAAATGCTGGTTATTAAAACAGTTTTCATAGTATTATAGAAATAAGACCATTTAGCTTCCGACAACTGGGTTAAAAAAAAATTATTTGACGTGAGTATAAGTTTAATTTTCCATGTCAACATGCAGATCATGGAGACTTGACGGGGACTCAAATTGCAGGACTCACTGTTAATTCGGACCTAAGTGACTTGAGTTGTGTGTTTTTTCAATGACTCAGACTTGACTCGTGAGTCAGAACCCACCCTCACCTCCCTTTTTTCTGGGGGAAAAGCTTGCTTTTAATAGGGAGTTGGATTTGGAGCTTGGGACTCAAGACTCAGTACCTAAAATTCAGACTCAGAAATAGGGACTTGGATTTGGAGCTTGGGACTCAAGACCCAGTACCTAAAATTCAGATTCAGGTTTGGGACTAAGTCCCAAAGACTTTCCAACATCGCTGGTGTGGACTCTTGCCCTGAAAATCGCCCAGGATAATTAAACATTCCATGTGAAACACAACAGCAATTTAACTACCATAGAAAACTTCAAGTTGACCAAAATCAACCCAGGACAGCCTTCTTGCAAGAAAATGGCAAATATAGATTGTTGTGCTCCTGGCTAGCCATGACTTTGTAGAAGATGGGCAATAACCATAAGTAGTACTATTACCACATATATCTCAGGAAGGGATTTTATTTTATTTTTTATAAAAAGCATATCTAATTCCATTCACCTGAAGTATTATAACAATAAGCACGGATTTTCCTGTGGTCTGCAAGTCTCCAGATGGCTACTCCAGTTTTATTTTGACCACAATTTTGATGTGGAGTGATCCGTGAAATGACAGCAAATCCTTCAGCTACCCAGCCAAAACTACAAGGAAAAGCAACATTTTCATGTTAAGTATATACTCCCATATCAAATGGCATAATGTTATGTGGCTATTAAAAATTAGCATATATTAAAAAACCTCTGATGTACAGAATTTGGTTACTGTGGAGCAAAGGATAGTACTGTATTTGGACATGAGAAACCGAACTTCTTGTTTAGCCCTGAAGATTATGAAACAACTTTTGGAGGTCTCTTGCTTCAATCCACTCTGCAACATTGAATTATTATGGGGGAAAAAATCCAAGATAATGCTAGAGAATGTTACCAAAAGGGTCTCTTATACAATCTAAAAATTATAGGCAATAGCGTGCTTTATGATATTTTGGGGGGCACCTTGCTGGACTAGCAGTTCAACTTGGGACCATCTTCAGGATATAAGAACAGTTTCTTTTCTAATTTATTAAATAAAATAGTATTTTCTAGCAAACAATTTTAAAAAAAAAAATCCAGAAGATGAAATGCTCAAGCACAGCCCCGATCAAGGAAGCACAGTGGGGAACTGAACTCCCAACCTCTGGCTCCACAGCCAGATGCCTAAACTACTGAGCTATTTGTTTTTGTGCTGTCAAAATGCCTCTGAGCACAGAAGCTATGCTTTCAGGAAACTCCCCTTCACTCAGCACCACGGCTGACGTTCTTTATTTGAGTCACTAATCTTCTGTGTATTGTATTTATCAGCCAGAAGGGCTACTATGGGGAGGAGGGATGGAGAGGCCTCCCTCTGCTATTCCGATTCTGTGTACGTAAACACAGCTCTAATGTGTGTTATTTAACTTAAAACAAAACATTTGTTGAAAGACTTTCTGTACCTGCAGGTTTCAAAGCCATGCTTCCATGCTTTTTCAACTTGAGACTTGTGTGCTAGGATTAGCCCAAGCTGTCTGCATGCAGCTTGTGCTTCATGGAAATTAAAGCCAGCTTGATTCTTGTGTTCAATATGAGTGATTCCAGCAATTCTGCAATTTGAGGTTTTAATATCTGCAAATTAGGTAGAAATAACCAAGTTATTACATGGATAATACCGTGCACTTTGCAAGGTAGAAGAAATTATAAGAAGAGCTACTTCAGCTTAATGCCAACCCAGAATTACTTACCCTGACTGCCTAAGGCTCTTCGGTGTTATAGCCAGGGATTGTACCTGCCTCTAGAAAATCTGTAATTGGTGATGTTTTAAAAGGAGCTTATAAAACCAAGTATGGGGTAATGACAAGACAAGAACTAAGTAATGATAAGAACTGACTTCAAATGGCAGTACAACCAAAGAAACTCACTAGGTAACCTTGGTCTACTCAGTCTCTCTCAGTCTAGCCAAGAGCTGTAAACAGCATTTTCAGAAACCAGGACAAGTGTGAATGTGTCCCCCACCTCCACATCAAAATTGTGATTCACAATGGTGAAAATAACACAAGAAGTAATTATAGCAGTGAACACCTTGCCAGAGTTTCCCCACCTCTGCAAAAGATCAGCAGCATTGTTACAGCTATGAAAACAAATCTACAGCTAGAACATCAACAGGCTGCCACGCCTGTCTTGGAAGTCTCAACGAAGAGGCGCAACCTCAAAATTTGGCATCCTGGAGTGAAGCCCTGCTTGTCCCACCCCTGCGTCACGGAACTATTACCAGGATGTAGTGAAGTAAGTGGAACAATGCAGTTCCCTTGAGATCCTTGGAGAAAAGCCATAAATAATAAATGAATTCCAATTGAAAAGCATATGTGTTTCAAGTCAGTTATATCCTCTATGAGGTGAAAAATTATAGAGTTGAAAGGGACCTGAAAGAGTACCTAGTCTGATCTTTTCCCCAAAGCAGAAAATCCACTACTTGGTTCTAATTTAGAAGCTGCAATGAAGATACTTTATTCCACCTTTTGAGGCAATCTGTTCCACTGTGTGAAGAACTGTACCATTTGCCCTACTATATTTCTGAAAATGGATCCTTCCCATCTAAAATATAGAGTCCATGTTTCTTCTTTTGAAATTCATTTTGTAAATTTTTAACCAGTTCTCCTAGCAATATCAACTTGAATCCTGCTTCTGTCTTCTGAAGTATTAGCTACTCCACCCAATCTGGTGTCATCTGCAAATTTGAATGGCATCCCTCTATGAAGAAACTCAGAAATAGGAGATGAGATCCATCTTAGAACCATACTTTTGAGTGTGCATGGGAAAATGGAGACTACGGTAGCTGTAATTGTCGAACTTTGCCTGGCAACAGAGATAAGAACACCTGCCCTTTATCTCATGAGAACAAACCACCTAAGTCAGCTTCTCCAGGCTAGGATCTACAATTCTAACTTGAAGAAATGATCTCAGCTCTGAAAGGGAAGGAGACTAGAAACTGCTCTTACTCTCATGAAATTGCTGGCGAGAATGAAAACTGGTTATTGTTATCATGCAATCATCTGGAATTGGGACTTTAGGATATTTCAAGGGACTTTGCTTATTCCCAGGAGAAAGCTATGCTTAGTTGCCATTCTGCTGGTTTATTTCAAAAGAGTTGTAATGCTCTGAAACTATGCTGTCCTCTACGCTACTAGTAAGTATTACATATAAAAGTTAGATTTATTGTTTTCCTGTGTGAATTCCTGCTGTTCCTCAAGCATGTCTTGCCCTGGATTTTGCATTTTTTATAAACATTTTTTGAACTGTTTTGCCTTTTTGCTTTCTTTTGGAACACCCAACCTTTTCTTCACATAAAGGCCTGATCACTGAGTTCAGAATTTGTGGTGCTGACTTTGAACTTTGTCCCTTGTCTACCTACTGGGAATTTTGGCTAACATGTGTGTGTATGTATACACACAGACAAAGTACACAGCTTTGTGAGTGTCTGGAAGGCACAGCCAAGTTGGGCTGGACTGCTGTGCTTGGAACTGAGGTTTTCCTTGGGGCTTTCAGCCAGGACCACAATCTGTGCTTCCGAATCTCACAAATGTGCAGGAATCATAAGGTAGTATGGCAGAATGGCTGGAGCAGCCCCAGGGTACCATGCTCTATTCCCTAGCCTAAGTTATTTATGGAAATGTTGAGAACCTCTGAGCTCTCGGATAGAACTCTGTGGTCAACAAGTAATTCATGAGTGCTCTGCAAGTACAGTCCAGCAACCAGCTACAGATCCATTTAGATCACATTTTGTTAGCTTGCCTAAAATAATATCATGGCAGAATCTTCCTGAAAATCTTCCTGAAATAAAAATATACAGTAGGAACTATCTCATATCCATGAGGATCAATTTCCACAATGTACTGCAAGTGCTTGAAACTGTGAATAGTAGCAAGTCCTATATACCGTGTATTTTTCTGTGTGTAAGAAAATATTTTTATCTAAAATCTTTAGACTAAAAATTGAGGGTCGTCTTATACATGGAAGTAAGTGGGAAAGGGATCAAAGCGTTCCAGGATCGCAGCCCTTTGATCCTCCAGCCCTTTCATGGCTGCTTTCCCCCTCCACTTCCGCAGCCCTTTGATCCTGCTTTTGCGGGGCTTAGGAAGTGGAGGAGGAAAGCAGCAATAAAATTTTCTTATTTGGCCTTGGAAAAGTCAGGGTGGTCTTATACATCAGGTCATCTTATACACAGAAAAATATGGTACCAGTGCCCTCCAACCTTTTCTGAATCGTGGACTGGTTGGGGGGGGGTCCATGTGTGGGTGGGGTATGCTTGTGCATGTGTGGATGGACGGGTGTGCTCGCGCGCATGCACAGGTTGGCGGGGTGCATTTTGGGTGGGCAGAGCACACTCGAGCCTATGCGAGGATTGGCAGTGGCCACTTGTGTGCATGCAGGACGGGCGGGATGTGTTCATGGAGTGTGTGTTCATGGAGGGGCAGGGGGTGCTCATGCACGTGTGCGGTGGGACGGGGAGTGCTTGCAGGTGGGCAGGGCACCCGTGTGTGTGGGCCGTGTGTGTGTGTGGGGTGCAGTGGGGGAGTGCGTGCGGGTGGGGAATTAGTTAGTCCTGCCATGGACATGGCCCGGGGGTTGGGGACCCCTGCTATATACAACATGCAAGGAGGTGGGACAAGGGCCACAAGGCCTGCTCCCATGTATATTGTTTATAGGGCTGTTGAAAGCCACAGATAACTGAAACCGTGGATACCAGTCTCACATGTTTGGGGATCCTACTGTACTACACACACAGAACTGGTATCTGAATAATTTTTCACATCAGTGACTGAAGTGAATAATGGTGATCACAGGGGAAGTAAATATTTGATGGCCCTGTTCAACTATCAATAGCAGAGATGGGGGTATTTGTATTCATATACAAATATCTCCGCACAGGTGGAGATAACGAGGGTCCAGCCCCTTGGAGCCAGACTGTCCACTCATGATTTTGTTGCCACTGCTGGCTCCATGGAGGAGTCCTGTCTCACTGTTGGACCGAATCGGTTAGCCACTCTGCGACCTGGCAGAGAGGCTCGTCATCCCGCCTTGTACCAGGAGTGGCTAATCCATTGGGAGCAACGGAGAGATAGGAAGGCACCACGGAGCCAGCAGTGGTGGTGAAATAACCCTTGTTATCTGCGCCTGTGGGGGGGATATTTGTATTTGTATATGAATACGAATACCCCCATCTCTAATCAATAGCATTTAATGCCATCAGCTATAATATCCTTTGAATTTCCTGGCTGCAGCCTTGTGTTATGGTGATTTGGTTTTTCCTAGGAAGAAGACCACAAAAGGAAGGATTGCTGTTCTCTACAGATCTGTCCCACACTTGCCAGGTATTTCACATCTGTATGAAACCACACAGGAGATAGGTAGTTATGCTTTCATTCTGACTACAACTCCCCTAACCACCCCTGGCAAGCAAAGCCAGCAAGGTCTGCTAACTATGAACCTGTTCATCAATACTGGTCATGATTGTCTGTTCTAATTGGAATATCTTTTTCAAAGTCTCATGAATTGCCTATCACTTGATGGCACATGGGGCACAGAAACAACACCAGGGATCAAACATTAAAGCTTTTGCATGTGAGCTTGAACTAAACTATGGTCCATCGTTTTCAAAGTATTCTGCTTTGGATGTTGGTGCCTCCCCTTGAAAATTTAGGTTCAGAATGGGAGTCCCCTGATCCCAGTTTTGTTCCTTATTCTGGATGATGGTTGTGACCAGGAACACTTTTGACCAGCTCAACTTGTTGTGTTAACAATACCTCTTTCTGAAGCAGGAAATCTGGTCGCAGGCTCAGATGCCTTTGGGTGTGTCCACACTGGTGAAAAAAATGTAGGAAATGCTCTGGGATTGGGGCTGGCTGATTTGCATTTTTCCCAAAGACCAGATGATGCAAAAGGAAATACAAATCAACCCAGAATTTTTCCATCTCTCAGTATGTAGGCTTTCCCTCTACTGCTGGGGCTTCTTAAGAAAATCAATTTGCGTCAGTTCAAGCTGTGTGATTGCTTGACCCATTGCAGAAGAAGCCACCATGCCAGCATACACTCATAGGAACAGCAAGCCTGACTTACTATTGCCAGCTCAGGACTTTTCCGTAATGCAGCTAATTGTGCTAATCTTTAAATTGTGACAAGACTTTTCACTGCTGTTGTCACCACTTGCTTTGCCATAAGGAAATAAGGACAATTGGACAAACAAATACAGTATCAGGAAACCGTGGTTAGTGAGTTACATGGTTGACAGCATCCCCAGAAATGTCCTTGGTGGAAGATGGGAGAAAACAGCACAAGGTAGAACCCTGAAGTTAAAGCAGGATTCTTCTTTAGACAAGTTAAATACAGGCTTCCTGGTACCCAATTTATTTTCCTTGATTCTATCTTATTCCCATTCTTGTTGTCCTCTACCAGTCATTAGTCCTTCTTTCTCATCAGATTAAAGAAGTCTAACAGCTTCCAGTAAATGGTGACAGGGTCCGGTTTGTGTTTGTGTGTGTGTTGGGGGACAGGATGTTGGAGACTAGGAAAACCATATCTGTAATTGCTTTCAGGTGAAGGCAGAAAGATAGGTTTATTTTCCCCAAGACAGTGAGGAGAGAGATGATCCAAGTCAACTGAGATAATTTACATTGCAACCCCATAACCACTTTCCATCAGCAATTCTCTTATGTTTTTCTTTTTAAACATCCTGCAAGATAACGAGAGGAGAAAACCCTTGTTTACAGTTATTAAGTAGTTCCCATGTAAGGATGATGTATCCTTACATGGGAACTACAATAGAGTTGCAATAGAGTTGCAAACAAGCTTACAAACAAGGCTTTCCTCCCTGTGTAGTTAATGTAAACAGACCCAGGGAAACCTACATTCCCTGTTGTGGCTTCACAGTAAATGAACGTGAATGAATTAGTGTTTCCTTCACTGTACAGTCATATTCTTAATTAAATCAAAATTACTATATTATATTTTGTGTTTGAAATGATAATCTGATGAAAAATTCAGCACCAAGACTACACTAAAAACTGGCCCATATTTATTGCACTGGATGCTGTTCTTTCCCATTGGCTTGATAGTAATAAAATTGATTTTATTTACCATATGACACTTTAAATTTATTGAAATGCTTTTAGTTTTTTTGGCTAGTCTTGATCATGTTTGTCTGATGTGGAAAGGTGAAGAATTGATTTTAAAAATCGATCGTATTACATATTACTGCCCCTCTCTTAGGAAGAAGACAGGTAATCTAAAGTTCACACCTGTGAGGTTTCAAATAGCGAATATGAAGAAAGACTGTTTTCCAGAATCATGTATGAATACTCTCAGTACTTAATGTGACAAAACTGTTGGCAGATTGACTATTTTTGGTTCCATTTCAGAGAGCTCATAGCAGTATGCATGGCTTTTCTCCCTCTCTATTTTATCTTCACAACAACCCTTCAAGTTAGGTCTGGCTGTCAGGGAGTGGCTATTGTCAACCAGTGAGTGTCGTCATGAATAGCTTAAAGCTAAACCTCCCAAGTCCTGGTCCAGCAAACCTGTCAACAATGCCATACTTGTTAAATGATGGGGGATCTGGGGTTCTCCAGATTTGTTTGGATGGTAGATGCTGAGAACGGGAAGATAATAACATCTGCAAGGCCACAGTTTTCTCGCCCCTGATCCGTATATCAATTTCTAGTAGTTTAAGATTATGAAGGACATTATAAGGTCTGCATGCATGATTAGAGGAAGTTTGTGGGTTACCCTTATTTCACTTTTGCAGAAGAGGATATAAGGCTGAGAAGTTGTCTAATGGGGAGAAAAAGCATGCTGTGTGTGGTGCCTGCGTTGTCATTTGCAGCTCCATCTCCTCATCTTTCTCCTGCTTCCTCATTGCTATGGGGAACAGCAGGAGCACAAAGTGGTTAGAAATCCCGTACAGTTAGCTTTAAGAGTGCTACTGATTGCTTGTCAATCAGCAGGCTCCACTCCACCCAATAAGACTACAAAAAAGTTTATTTATTTATTTATTTTATTTAAAATATTTTTATCCTGCCTTTCTCCTTAAAAAGAACCCAAGGTGGGTTATCTTACATTCAGGCTTAGATCATTGCCTAGCTCCCTGAGCACGCTATTTTTCTCCTAATCTAATAGACAAGATATAAATGATACATAACACCTCAGTCCCTTTGTCCTCATTTCCTCTTGCCCTTTCACACTAAGTACTTTCTTTTCCTGCCTTGCAAGCCCGGTCAAGTCTTCCCATTTCCACTTCTAGACCTTGGGGAACAACTGTCCAGTTCATTGAAGGAGTGAAGTATGTCCATATAATATCAGCATATCAGGTTCCTGAAGATGCCCCATTTCAATATCATTTTTCTCCTAATCTAATAGACAAGATATAAATGATACATAACACCTCAGTCCCTTTGTCCTCATTTCCTCTTGCCCTTTCACACTAAGTACTTTCTTTTCCTGCCTTGCAAGCCCGGTCAAGTCTTCCCATTTCCACTTCTAGACCTTGGGGAACAACTGTCCAGTTCATTGAAGGAGCGAAGTATGTCCATATAATATCAGCATATCAGGTTCCTGAAGATGCCCCATATATGTTCAATATCAATATTTGAGTAAAATGTAAACATATTGTTTTTGAAGGACAAATAATTGTCCTCTGGAATTAGAAGCCTTTCAGTGTTGCAGGATGAGAAACAATACAAATTTGACTTATTCACCACCACCTCATTTACTTCATTCCGGGTTGGGAAAATGACAGTGTTCATGGGATGAAGTGACAAATGGGAAAAATGACACCCGTAACCATTTTTAGGTTAATGTAGAACAAAAGGAAAAGGCAAAGTTAAGAACATTAATATGCAGTAAGAAATTGCACAGCAGGAGCTGTGCTGGTCTCTTCCTGTGGAAAATCTTGTGCCCAATAGGTTTGTTAGATTACTAACAGATTTACTGTCACTTATGTTTTCAAGAAATAGAGTCCATTTTGTAACATGCATTAATATTGTGTTCAGTTGGCAGATACATATTCATGAGTACAGTAAGAAAACTGTAAGTGGTCATGCACAAAGACTTTGAAGATCATGTTGCTGTGGTAGTTCTACAGAGCCAAAACATTTACAAGATGTGAAGAAGAAAAAACAAGAGTTGTGGCACCTTAAAGACATAGGTAAAGGTAAAGGTTCCCCTTGACATTTAGTCCAGTCGTGTCCGAGTTTAGGGCACCATGCTCATCCCTCTCTCCAAGCTGTAGAGCCAGTGTTTGTCCATAGATAGTTTCCATGATCACATGGCCAGCGCGAGTAGACACGGAACACCATTACCTTCTCACCATGGTGGTACTATTTATCTACTTGCATTTGCATGCTTTCGAACTGCTAGGTTGGCAGGAGCTGGGACAAGCGATGGAAGCTCACTCCATCGCGTCGATTCGATCTTATGACTGCTGGTCTTCTGACCTCGCAGCACAGAGGCTTCTGCGGTTTAACCCGCAGTGGCACAATGTCCCTTCTTAAAGACGTACAGATTTGTTTAAGTGTGAGCTTTTGTGAATCCCAATTTATCTGTGATCTAACTATTATGTTCCCTCTGCCTGCGAAAATGGTGGTCCTTGAAAACTCATACTGAAATTAATTTATTAGTCTTTTAAGTGCTACAAATCTTTTATTTTTGGCATGCACCTTGAAACAAACTAACAGAACTACCTTGTTGAAAACTGAGAGATGAGGAATGATTCATTCACAGTGTCAGTGACTGCCAGCAATATTATATTTCCACCTCCCGATTAATTTCAACTGTGTAGCCACACCTTATGGTGCACTAATTTCAGGGATGTGGTGTGAATGAAGCCCTTAACATAATGTAACTCCAAATTACATAGAATTACATTTCTTTTTCTGCATTGTAACAGAAGTAGTGCTTTTAATTGTTTCTGTTGAAACATAATTACCTTACTATCAGTGATTATCTTGGGAGAGTGAAATGGGCTCTCAGCAGTTTCTGAATGTACTATTTTTAATTTGCATGAAGAATTATCTTTTTTATCTAGCATAGATGTAATTGTTGGCAGACAATGATTTTTTTAAAAAAAATTAGACAAACACTTTGAGGATCACATCAAAGGTGGAGTTAGTTTAGCACACTTTTTTGCAGAGTGACCAAGCAACTACTTATGGGAAAGCATCAAGCAGCACTCTCCCACTTTTGCTTCCTACCAGCTGGTGTTTGGTAGGCTATTACTCTGGAGAAGGAGGTTCCATGTAGCCCACATCACCTTATAATAAAACTACCCCCTGTGCATTTGCCAAATTCCCCTTTAAAGCCATCAGTCTCATAACCAGCAGAAACATGTTGTAGATAGGCTAGAGAAGGGGAAACTGTGGCCTTTTGGATGCTGACAGATTCTAACTATCCTAGGTCCCAGCCAGCACAGTTGATGGCCAAGGATGATGGAATTTCCAGCTCTTCAACTAGAGATCCACACATTCCGTGTCTATGTGTTATGCTTTCAAAACTGCAGAGTCTCAATCACATTAAACAAGGCAGTGAAACATACCTGGGACATCAGAAAGTGATTGTGTTGAAGTGATTCATGGTTATACTTGTAAAAACCAAACAACAACCCAGAATAAAATCTAGATGCTCAGGTATAATGCTAATTCTGAAAAGTGAAGTCAAGAATCCTTACAAAATTTGCCTTGTGTTTCTGACTATAATAATCTAACATGCAAAAATATATATTATTGACTTCTATTGAAACATAAAGAAGGAAGCAAAACATAATTAGGTTTTAAAGAAAACATGCCTGTGGCATAATTATTTTAGTTTTCAATAATTCACAAGCATTTCCATTACATCTAGGAAGCAGAGATATTTGGATTCCTCTTCATGCATTTGATGAAGTAACTTGAACAGTCATAACATAGTCATAATCTTTAAAAGTATCTCAAGATTCCTTGCTGCTGTTTTGCTGACAGAAATTAACACAGTTCTTCTTCCAGAAACTGTTCTTTAGTGGAATTCTATCTGTTTTACAAGAGGTTCTGTTTAGTACATCACTTTAAAAAAATAAAACTATAATATGGACAGGGGGTTATAGTGCAACCCCATTGAGCTTGGATTTAATTATATTTTCCCTTCTAGCTCTGATTTTTTTTAAAAATTCACACATACACTTGTGGTCATCTTAGACAAGTAATACAAACAAAATATGAAAACATACCTTTTGTAAGAAAAGGGTCCTGTATAGTGAGGCACACCATCCAAACTAAGAAGAAAAAGAATGTAAGTCCGAAATGAGATGCCATTGTCAAGAATACTTGGAAGGCTGAGATTCAGTCCACACTGCTTTCCAGCCTGCAGTGCTGACAATAGTGTGGTGTGATGCTAAGCTATACTTTGTGAGCTTAGAGTGAGGTCCTTTCTTGAGAGCTGTTGAACAGCCACTGCCTATGTGACAGGAACAAGCTTGCTGCTCAGCTCAAAAGCCATCCACTGGCCAAGGTCACTGTCTGGAAGTACATAACCCCCCTCCAACAACAACAACAGAAAACCATAAAGAGCAATCTGGAAAGCACAACTGAATGCTGACTCAGAAAACATGTGTATGAGGAAAAGAGATAACACAATGTGTTAGTGTTATTCTTATGAACAGTGGGAAGATTTTCCCTTCTGCTGCTGAAGTGCTCATTTTGTGACTACTCCAACTCAGCCACTTGCCATGTGTTCATAATTCAGTTGGTTCAGCTTCTAGCTCAAAAAGTGTGTCTTGTGTAACATTGTTGGACTACTACTAACCACAAACACCTGGAAAATACAGATTGTTTGGCACCAGTTCTATTTTATGAAATGGCTGCATGGTTGAACAGAGGAAAATAATCAGTTGTCACCTGAGGCTGCCTCCAAATTTCCCTACCAAATAAGACTAAGTATTCTTAAAATATATATTGTTACTCGGTTTAGTTCAGTTTACATGTTCATTGAGGGACAGTCCAATTTTGTGCTTCACTCACTGTATAGGTTTAAAAAAACAGTGCCTGGAAGTTTTCTTCAAATGTTGTTCATTCAGTGCAATTGCAGCAGAAGTTTTTAATTCTATTTCCATCATTCTTTGTGTTGCAAATACCTTCTGCATTTTTCTATCTGGTCTTGAAAGGGAGCCACATCCAGTGGTGGTCCCAGGACTGCAAATACCAAAATAGATGCTCTGATTTGAGTGCTTGTAGTTTCCTTAGAGAAAAACAAATTCGTCTGAAAGTGAAGCCTGTTCATCACATCTCAGAAGGGGACAAGGTGTGCCCCAAAACAAATAGAACACTTTAAAACAGAAGACTGGAAGATTTTAGTAAAATAGCTTCCAAAAAAAAGTCATACATGTGGCATGAAATAAAGATATCAATGGGCACTCAGTTATCAGGATTTTTAATTTGTTAAAATTTTTATCATACTTTTTTTTTTTACCAACACAATACACTTCTTTTGAAATAATTAGAACTGAGCTGAAATAGGCAGTGCTTTTATGAAACAATTTCTTCTGTTTTCAGATGTTCCCCCTTTTGAATTGCAGGTTGTGTTTTTTTGAAGTACTTACAGTATCAACGGCCAAAGTGTTCACTAGCTATGCAGGCAAAGGTGCAGGAAAAAAAGGAGGGAGAATGGTGTTATGGCCACATTATGCAACAATTGAGCCAAGTAACATCATAATGTTGTCAAAGTGTAGCCAGAAAGTTGACCCCATGCAATTAAATTTACTACATTTAAGTGAAAACAAGGGAACTTCAATTAAAGATTTTAAATGGCCAGAAATACATGTTTGTGGTGGGAAACCTGCAGTCCTGTTAAGAAGGAACTGTTAAAGGGAAGCCTTGTGTCTGAAAAATATTTGTAGGAGAACTTGTTGTGAGAAAGGTGGCCTATAAGTAAGACAAAATAAATAAATACTGTATGTGCAGCACAGTGTGGTGTAATTGACAGGGCAATGGACTAGAATCCAGGAGAATCCATGGTCCTGCTTGGCCATGGAAAATCATGAGGGGTGGAACTGGTAAAACCCCTTTAAATATCTCAATTACAGTGAAAGTCCTGTAAAGGTCACTATAAATTGGTTCCAATTTGACAGCACATGACAAAAGAAATTAGACAGATTCAAGTGTACAGTACTTAAAAGCACCACAGAGAAGCATTAACATTTATTTGTAATCAACTTTTCTGTTTTGTGCAGAACTCTTATTTATGCAAAGATGATGCTTGCAAATGTTAGTGTTTTTGGTAAAAAGAAACAGATTCAGCATAAAAACAATATGAATCTTTGTGCTCTAATTTGATAGCTACAAACTTATAAAATACTTCTGTTATGTGGTGGAATCTCTTTTAAGAGCTTGTGTGCAGAAGAAATAAGCTACATAAAGGCAACACTGAGAACTTTGAAGCAATACTTTTATTTTCACTTCTCAAGTATGTGATACTATACAGTACAATACTAGAACACCTGTGCAAAGTTTTACAAAATTTAAACCTAAGTTAGTGCCTCTTCTATTTAAAAACATCAGTGCTGTGCACAAGAAACAAATGTGTCTCGTTAAAGCCAAATAAATAAATATTGCACTTCAGGAAACAAACCAAAAACAAACCCCCAAACAGAAACCTATAAATGGCATAACATGGTTGACCTACCCTTTATGTCTATATAAGCCCTATGAATTTGAAGGCAGAGGACATTTCCTTTTTCAGATAATGCATAGATATGCAGAAGGCTGCACAATATTTTCTTTATGTCAGAACAGATGGCCACTGCTTTGTACTTGGTTGAATCACTGACCAAATAAGAACAATTCCTTACTGAAAAATAAAATTTTATTTGGCCTAAAACCATGTTAACAGGAAAGTCAAATTTCAGGTGCTCTGTCAAAATAAAAATAAATCAACTCTCCGAAACGTTTTATTAGAAGGATTTATTAAACTGGTATATCTTTTCTGAAGAAAGCAAATTGTATCACATGTCAATACTTAGCTCAATGTTTTCAAAGTAGAATTAACATAAATATGGGAAATGCACAAAGAGGTATTACCCTTTTGTAAAGCACTGCATTACCCTGTACTCTCTAATGTAATATTTCTGTTTCCTTTAACCATGGATAAGGAGTTCCATTTAAATGTTCTACTTCTCACATCCGATACAGAATTATTTCCCTGGGCATTAACCTGCACTAATGTTAACTATGCTTTGCACTAACAGAGAATTAGCTGTTAAAGAGGAAAGCAGTCTTACTGGCCAGTGCTGGCTGGGAATGATGGTGGTAGTAGTACAACACACCTAAAGGGCACCAGGTTTGGGAAGGCTGCAAGAACTGAAATTTTCAATGCTTGTTGTAAGACACTGTTTAACAGCAAACACTGGTTAATTCAGTGGCAATGTAGACATGAATCAGGTTCAGGTCAGCAAGAAAATAGCCAAGCACGCCTCTGCTCATTTCACAGCCATGGTCATGGATCAAGAGACTGCTAATTTATGATTAAATAAATGGCATGAGTATAACTAAGAGACCTATGGCCTGGATCTTACTAGTAATTTCAACTAGAATAGACCCAATGAATCAATAGGATTTACAAAATTTTAATTAGCCATTCAACAATTGATTCAATGGCCCAAGACTAGCAGCTGGCTTTATGGCTATTAATGTAAATATTTTATTTTGTAAAGCTAATTAATCACTTCACATATGACATACCACTGCTTGGGGAAAATTGATTTTTAAAATATTCTACAACTTTCTGCTTTGAATATTTCCTAATTTCCTGGATGCATACAGTAGATGATATGCTTCATCATTTATCTATGTATTTGAAGTACTTAAGTTCCAATAGATCAAAGAACAGTGTCGTAGCCAATTTTCCCTGGATGTGTCATTTAATACAAAAGACAGCCGAAATCTCTCTCTTTTGCTTCTTTATTCCCTTAATTTCCCCTTCCAGTTGAGCGCAATGACACACATTCTCATCGGCCCTATTAAACATGCTCAGTCACACTATTGGAGTCTTCTTGCTCCTTTTAGAGACATATCCAGATGGTGAACATATATGTGTTTAGCATCAATGTTAGACATCCCATTATCCATATGTTGCAAGTCTCTGAGGAAAACTTTGGTTTTCAACAGATTCTCAGGTCAGAATAAAAGTAACACTATACATTTATTTCCTGAGATACTTGTGCTCATTAAACCAAAAGATCATTTATCAATCATCTATGGCAGATTTAGAATTCTATGTAAGGCTCTGCCTTTTTTAGACTTCCAAGATAAAACAAGTTCCTTCTTCCTCAGTCATAGAACAATGGGGTTGGAAGGGGACTATGAGGCCATCAATTCCAAAACCCTGCTCAATGCAGGGATCCAACTCAAAATATGTCTGATAGATGGTTATTTAATTTTGTTTTGAATGCCTCCAGCATTGGAACACTCACCCCTGGAGGTAATTGGTTCCACTGTTTGGCTTCCCAGCACCCACTATTACTTGTCCTGCACTCTTGGATGATTGAGAACAGATCCTACCTACCTGTGTTGTACAGTCATTCACAAATTATAATCATGCAATGGCCAGAATGCTATTGGAGATTTATGCTGGCATAAGTGTCATTGTGTGAGATGCAGCAGCAAACTCATGCTAATTAATGAATTGTAGCTTGCATTCTTGGTCATGCATCAGTCATGTGACTTGGTACATGACCAAAAATGGGAGCAGTAATTCATTAATTAGTGGCAATACACCACTGTGGTTTACACAGTTACACCCATGCCAATATAAATCTCCAATAGCATTGTGGTGAATATGCATTTGTTGAGCCCATGCTTGTTGGCATTTACTAGCAATAGGAACCTAAAAATACCCAACAATAGAGATAGGAATGAACAGCAAATATGGGAATTGCTCCTCTTGGACCTCTTGTGGAAGATGTGTGTTGCTCCACACCTTTTTCTAGCACTTAAAAAAAATTCAAATAGGGAAAGCTGTTTCAAAACCACAAGTGACATGGTTACTTCTGGGCTCATGTGAGGGTGCTGGTAAAAAAAACATTATGAATCATTAACTAATGAGTGCAATGCTTCCAATTCTTAATTTTTTTCTCACCACCCTGTTACCATCATAATATTTCTTAGGCATTTCCTTGCTCAGTTTGCAAATGTGCAAAATCTGCTACAAAAGCAAGCTTTTCTTCCTTGCCTCTTACATTCAGTCGTGTATAAAGGAGCTCCAAACAGATGCCAGAATTCCCAGCAGTTTTTTTCACCCTCATCTTAAGTGGGTTTGCTTGGAATCAAGTCCTCCTGACTGTTACAAGAGCGACTCTGACGTCTGTTGTTTTAAGGCATGTAGCTTGAACTTGTATAATGGAGATCTGTCTACACCTGTCAAGACAAGAGGCATCCTAACCTCCTTGTTCCAAGAAGCAGTGATAATATGCCAAACCATGTTTCCTCCCAACACATCCAGAAACTTCCTTAGTTCCCAGCATTCAGAAATAATAAAATGCTAATAATTCTCTCTGGGGAACATGACAGAATTATGCTGTGCTTAGATTTTGTGACACTGTTCTTAGTAAAGAATTAGCCATTGTCTTGGCAAACAAAATGAAGGGCAAGAAGGATGATTTGTAGCTCTTATTACAATTCTTCTCTGTCAAGTACTATTTCTCACACTGGCTCTTCTCCCCACTCCTCTCCTGCTTTACAGACTTGTTTTGGCTTTCACAGCCAAAGCAGTATTTTTTAACAGAACGAAATGGCCTGGGAGAAGCCAAAATCAACAGTAGGTGGACAAGTGAAGCACCCCATTCCATTAATCAAATCGTCTCTATAACTATACCCCAACATCTCACTAGCATTACAATGGTTTAAAACAAAACATTTCTCCCCCATGTCAACTCTAATGACCTGTGTAACATCTCCCAATGAAATCTGCTTCTTTGTTGGTGCTTTATTTACAGTGAGTTGCTGCTGCCACGCATGATATGTGCAAGAAATGCTGTGGAATCACAGCTTCATTACACGTATTTAACAGAGGTGCATGCTGTTTTGTTCAAGTGACAGAGCTGGTTGTGTCTCCACATTGGCTACTATGTACTAAGTGACAAAGGCACTGTAAAGTGAACACCTTTTTGTGTGTGCAAAACTTTCCTTTTCAAAGAGAAAAGAATGAACAAACATGCACATTCACTCTTTGTTGCATGTTATTTTTCAGGGAGAAGGAAGTGTTCATCCTTCCAACCATGCAGTCTCCCCTTCTGGCAGATGTGGGACCTGGCTGTAGCAAGACCATGTTAATACTTTTAGTACTTTTCACTTTTAATTTTTGCATAACCCCTACAATTATGAATTCAGATATAAATCTTTAGTTGATTGTAACTCTGAGATCTTAAAATTATTGTTGAAGAATTCCAAACTGAAATTTATAACAGGAATCAGTGCTGACGTTTATGTTGCAGGAAGTCTGGGTGTGGCATTTTTCAAAAGCCATGGAGTTTCCACCTATGAGCTTCCACCCATCAATGCCCTAGGTTTTCATAAAGCATTTTCTTTATCTTTCTCAAGTGGCTGTGTTGATATTCAGGCACAATAATAAATAACAATTAGCATAAAAGAGAAAACTGCATTTATTGGCTGGTGTCTCTGTCTAGTTAGAAATCACACTGCGTTCACTAGTCTGATGGCACAGAAGAGACTAAGCGTTGGGCCACTGACCACATTTAACCACCAGGAAAGTGACAAGGTGCTACTTTGCTTTACACTCCTCAGTTTTAAAACGGGTGCTTACTGGTGTATTACAGACGGCTTTTCTCTCCATTCATGCTTTTGTTATTCTGTACGCTGGTCATGTTGTAGTCCTGAGTTCCACCAGGAATAGTGCTGGACAGCAGAGCAGGTAGCTTTCACTTTGGGCCCATTGGATAATTCAGTACAAGAAGAGAAGTAACTGTATAAAGTGGAGATTCCCAGTACCAGAGCAAAAATGATGATAATGGCTGCCACAATCCAGAGAACATTCCAGTGTTTATGCAGTTTGGGGTACAGTATTTGTACATAATGGATAATAACTTCAAATTTGCTGTAAAATGGAAAATGAAAAAGTAAAAAATGTGGAAGATTATTGGCACATCAGATCCTTCTATTATTTGAAAGCTGTCAAACATGTAAGATAGGGAGGTCTAGCAGTGCACTTGATATCCTTACTGGTTTTATATGCCACAGACTAAAGCTCTGTTTCCAGCATAACGAAGGTACTTGTTCTTGTTCAAAACTATTCTCTTTGCTAAAGTTTTAGAACTTTTCTAATTCTTTTTCAAAACTGGCATATTTATATTAACAGAAATAAATTCAGCATCAGGAGAAAAGAGGCAGTGTTGATTTAATTTGTCATTATGAGCTATTGATCAAGAGACTGCTGCTGGAATGAAAATATTCTGCTTTTTCCTACAAGAACTACTTAACCTCTCTTAAGAGGTTACACTGTTAAAACATCTAATAGCATAAGTAGAAATTATATTATGCTTTTTTAAACATATACAATTCTTCATTGAGTCTTGCTCTAAATTTGTAATGAGAAAGTACACCTACAAAAGTCAGAATGCTCATTTATATTTTCTTTTTAATGTCTATATAATACGAAGTATGAAGGAAGCTCAAAGGGAAAACTCTATGAGTAAAAACATCCTTAATCATAATGTTAAATAAATTGAATAAATGTCTGTTTTCACCAGTTTATACTGAACAAATGGAATGGAAGTCAGAAATGCATAGCGTGAATTTTAACAACATACAGGAGTCATCTACACACACATCTCTCTAAATGAGGGATGGTCAGGTTCTTCTGTAATGGTCTAGGGGGCTATTCCACTGGTGGGAGGAGATGAGGTTGGTCTCAAGGTAGCCCGAAATTTAAGAATCATTTTATACCTATTTTCTTTCTCCCTCTTGAATGTACATTTTCACATGGTGAAGGGACTTGAGTGTATCAGGGAAGCTGACAGCAATACCCTCAAGAGACTATGCATTTAGGTTCCTAGTTGGGTCACCAAAGGCAGAATGGACAAAGCTTAGTAACCAGACCAAGATGCATCCATCCTCTACTACAGAAATTAACAGTTGCAGAAGAGAATCAATAGCAATAATGGTGATGGGAACTAACAAATTATCGATGGTCAACTACTGAGCAACAGCAGTACTGAAAGGTGAAACTCGCACAGGACCTTTCACAGATCACAGCAGCAGCATTCGGCTAACTCCTGTTGGTACTGCACAGAAGGAGGCCTTTTCTTCTATTTCCACCAACTCCTTTTTCTTTCTTTGCCCACTCCTCCTAGCCCCTCAACATTGCCCCTACAAAGAACAGCAAAGAGACTGATTGCTCTTGCAGATGCTTGAACTGGTAATTTGAAAAGCATTTTAAAATCAGAGCAAGGGCTCCAGGAAATCAGTCTGAGGGCCATAAATTGGACTCTGCTTCTCTAATCCTGGAGAACTGCTTCACGTGTGGATGAATTCGGATGCTTCCTTAGGCATATTTCACTAACCTTGTGCCTTCCAGATGTGTTGCACTCCTACCATTCTAACTAGCATGTCTCATGCCATCAAATTATCTTCAGTCAACAAACCATGGTGTTGGCTGCAGATGTTGGGCAGTGTTATGTAACACAGGTCAGGGAAGGCTCCTTTAACACAGGTCAGGGAAGGCTCCTCGTGGCGCAGTGGTTAAAACGCTGTACTGCAGCTAAAAACTGTGCTCACGACCTGGGGTTCAAATCCCAGGTAGCCGGCTCAAGGTTGACTCAGCCTTCCATCCTTCCGAGGTCGGTAAAATGAGTACCCAGCTTGCTGGGGAGGCAATGTGTAGCCTGTATAATTAAAAATTGTAAACCGCCCGGAGAGTGCTTGTAGCGCTATGGGGCGGTATATAAGTCCAATAAATAAGTAAATAAATAAATAAATAAATTTAAGGTTAAATTAGAGTTCAAATAAAAGCATTTCACCCATTTTCTGTATTTTGGCTTTCATCCACACTGGAGTTTTATAATGAATTTTTCCTTCAGTTGCTCTCCTTCTTTAAAATCTTTAGCACTTTGTAGTGACTTAGAAAGAAGACTGCTGGTGTGAAACAATAGTTACCCTGTTTCTACAGTGATAAAAATGTTTACGCAAGATACTCTCTGTAGTAATGAAATCAATTTTAATAGGCTCAGGAAAAGTTTGGTTTGACCTGGATTTTGTTTCCACCGTCCTAAAACAGTTTATAGCAGCAGTTATTTGGGGATCTGCTGGAAAAGAAATTCTATCATAATATTTTTGATATTCAGTTCTATTATTTTCTGAACATTCATCAGGTTACATTTCATCAGATACATTACTACACTCTTTGACATTCTCAATATACTAGTGGTTTTCTTACCTATGCTCCTTGCTGATTTCATTTTCACTTGCTACACATTCATTGGGGATCTCCTCTATTTTCTCTTTGTCATCCTCTTTCAGCTCTTCAAGTTCTTTGGTTTTCTTTAAGCCTTCTTGATAGCTTTAAATATGAAAAGGACACATACATTTTTCTACTTTTTAAGAGCTGCACCCATTCTTGATATTTAACTCCAAGCAAAGTCAGTCAAAGTCAGTGTAACTTGGTAAACATTCTTTATTCCTGAAAATAAGGTGTCAACAGTTTGGGCTTCCTCTACAGACAAACATGAACCTGGAGGAAACTTCAGTCATGCAAAAAAGAAGGGGGAGCTCCTCTTGAAAGAGGCAGATAGGACAAATGGCATATCCCAGTATAAATATAGATCAGTATACAGTTTTACTAGAAAAAAAAATGACTGGGTTTTAAGTTTGTTTCTCCAGGTATCAACTACAAATAAAGTCTGTGCGGTCATCTGGGAGATGGTCTTGTTAAACGGGAACAGTATACAGTAATCAAAGGCAAATTCGATACTCCATCAAGAAGGTGGAAAATAAGTGTACAGGTATCTATCTATTGACTGCAAACACATACGGTACACACACACACACACACACACACACACACACACACACCAATAGAGAACACACAATTTGCTTTGAGCCACCCACAAAGAGTAGGTTCTGAATATTTTTTGAGAGCCAGTGAAGTAGGAGAGTGTATATGATTAAAATTTAGGAGACCTGGTTTCAAACTCCTGCTTGGCAGTGGAAACTCAAGGAGGCAGAGGTTGTGTGTCTCTAACAATGCCACTCCTTAAATATCTCACATACTTCAGAAAGCCTACTTAGGATTGCCACATGTCAGAATTGACTTTGATGACACATAACATACACAATGAATATTTTGGAAACATGTCCTTGCTGGATAGTCACATTCATTGCTACTGCAAATGGCAAGTGTGAATAATCCATTTACAGGTAACACCTACTGAGGTTCTTAGATCCACTATAGACACCGGCTACCAATGTCACTAAACACTGCTGCTCTGCCTAGTTACAGCTGATAGAATTCTAGCTGCACCAGCAATAATTGCAAATGCACTGAATTATGTAGAATCCACTTACTCAAAAACACCTTAGCTTTATGAGCCAGCAGCAGGTACAAACTGTAGTGTTGTGGTTTCTTCTCAAAAGACTCCTGCAAGTTTACTGCAGTGTTGCTAACAGACTGAGGCTGTGCTGAATGATCATGTTTAGTGGTCCAAAAGAAGAAGCTATATCACTGCTCCCAGGTAATAGAATGCTCTCTCCTGGGACATCAAGTTGGCTCCCTCCCTTTCATCCTTCCGCCGACAGTGCAAGACTCACCTTTTCAGGCAGTCTTTATAGCTCAATGGTTTAGGAATCTGGCTGTGGAGCCAGAGACTGGGAATTTGATTCCCCACTCTGCCTCCAAGAGAGAAAAGCCAGCCTGTGTGGCCTTCGGCAAGCTGCACAGTCCCAGGATGCCCTCAGAAGAAGGGAATGGTAAATTACTTCTGAGTATTCTCTACCTGGAAAACCCTGAAAAGGGTTGCCACCAGTCAGGATGGGCTTAACCACACATGATTACTATTTTATTACTGTGTTTCCCTAAAAATAAGATATGGTTTTATATTATTTTTGCTCCAAAAATGCATTAGGACTTATTTTCATTCATTCATTCATTCATTCATTCATTCATTCATTCATTCATTCATTCATTCATTCATTCATTCATTCATTTATTTTATTTTATTTATATCCGGCCTATCTGGTCGGTTAAGACCACTCTCAGGGGATGTTTTATTTTATTCCTCTACAACAATCTACGTTTATTCAAATGCAGTAATGTCATCTTCTCCTCATTGCTGTGGAATAGTGGAGGTTGGGGTTTCACTTAACTGGGGCTTATTTGGGGGGTAGGTCTTATTTTCAGGGAAACAGGATATATAACAAACATGACTGAATCCCTTTATTAACAGGAAGGTAGCAAACAGACAGACAGACAGACAGAAAGACAGACAGATAGATACTCTGTTTTCCGGAAAATAAGACCTAACCTGAAAATAAGCCCTCATATGATTTTACAGGATGCTTGTAATATAAGCCCTGCCCCAAAAATAAGCCCCAGTTAAGTGAAACCCTGCCCTCCACCATTATGCAGCAACCAGAAGATGATGACATGACTGTATGTGAATAAATGTAGACTGTTGTACATGAAAAAAATAAAACATCCCCTGAAAATAAACCCTAATGCTTTTTTGGAGCAAAAACTAATATGAGACCCTGTCTTATTTTGGGGGAAACACAGTAGCTACATAACTAAACTATTAAATATGTAGTATACATACATTTTGACTGAGTGGTTGTAAACTAGCTACTTGTTAAAAGGAAATTCAAATCTCAGTAGAACCCCTATATTGTTAAGTTTGTATGCTAAAATTTAGCACAGTTTACATAGATAGGTTATAGTTGTCTTAGCAAGTCACAGAAAAAATCTTCCTTGCTTTATAATTAGTTCCATAATAAGTGATATAAAAGTGAAATTACTTTCAGTGAATCACACCCATTTCTTTACCCTTTTGTTTAAAATGTATTTTTCAGTTTAAGATAGTTGCTGTTAGTCAGACATGATATCCTTTTGTAGTTAATATTAATAGAAACATTAATACTATGGCAACACATACTGATGACAAAACAAAGGAAACAAAATAGGACACTGTTTTATGAAAATGCCTTCTGGCATTTTATATGTGCAGGGTGTTTAGCATCTCAGAATTATTGGTTTTCATATTAAGATAATTAAGTGGTTGCTTGAATTTGTGGAATCATTTGTACATAGTGATGTGCACCCATAGTAATTCAAATGTTTGGGACAGTGGGCTTGTAGAAAAATGGAGGACCTTATTTTAATGAGTTAAGGTTAGCCAGTTCTCTCTTCCCTCCCTCTCTCACACACACCCCTGATCCTAATTACATGGCATAAAACCTCTATCGGGCCCTGGCCTCATGATCTATTTTAATGTTTGACTTACTATATGCATTCTGTGACACTACAATAACACGATAGTACAATGAAATATGATGAATTATCACTCGCTCTCCCACCTCCACACCTTGGCCAATGTCAGCATAAAGGAAGTGAGGTGTGACATAGCATGTAACACACACAGGAGTAGAAAGGCTTTGCTGACTGTAAGTGTTGCTTCACCTGCTTATTCCTTATAGCAGGAGTCCCCAAACGAGCCACAGAGAGAGATCTCCCGTCCCCCTGCACGCATTCCCCCTCGCACACCACCTGCATGCATGGCCTGCCCACCCCCACGCACAGGTGCCCCACCTATCCACATGTGTTCATAAGCACCCCCCGCCCATCTGCGCTTGCGTGCGAGCACGCCCTGCCCACCTGCGAGTGTGCCCTGCTCACCTGCACATATGCGAGCGAGCACCCCGCCTACCTGCAAGTGCAGGGGGTGCCCTACTCCCATGCACGAACCCCCCCAACCAGTCCGCCATTCAGAAAAGGTTGGGGACCACTGCCTTATAACACAGCTACATGGGAGAGGCAGATATTGTAACAACCTGCAGTAGAACAACCAAAGCAGCAGCAGGGGAAGAGGAAGGGAACAGTAAGAATATAATGGAAAGGGCATGTGAAACATTGTGATAGGAACCACAGAGGAGAGAAATTAGCATTGAACAGGAAACAGCATGACTCCCTTGCTGATCTAATGGAGGATCCACGTGCCAAGGCAACAGAAGTAAATTCTTCATGTGGTGGAGGGGAGCTGGCAGAAAGGGGGCCTGAAAATGCCTCCAGACTTGAGAAAGAGGAATGTATGGGGCACTATTGTTTACACTTTCATAGCAAATGGGATAACTTCCAGAGGTATTTATGAAAATAGCTCAGTTGATTAATAATGAGGCAATGCAGGTTAAGATTTCTAGCTATGGCTAATCTGAATGGAAATTCCTCTGTTTTGGAACTGATTCTTTCGAAGTAAATAGAAAGTACATTTTTGATAATAGTAGTTTGTGGCAATTCATGGAAGAGAGGGTCCCTCACGTGGCCCATTTTGTGGCCCAGCAAGTCAGAACACAGGAAGGTCCTAGAAGGCAACTCCCCTTTCCCAGGCACCTTAGCACTGGAGGATTCCCAGGGCAAGCACCGCTGGCCATCCGATTCCAGCCAGCCAGCAATGCTTCAGAGGGGGGAGCTCAGCCAGGTTGGGGTGGAGCTTTAAAATCCCTCCCTATGATCCTCTCCGACAACTGTCACATGGATTTTCCTATTTCACCTGAGCCCCCAAATGAGAATAATACATATCCTACTGCAGTAGATAATGAAAATGAGCTGTCATTTTAATAATGCAGAATTGCTCTTTGGTGAATTAGTTGGCACATGATTCTTACCCTTTGTCATAAGCTTCCTCTTCTATTTTGACTTTTGTTTTCAGGTTGATATCTTCCAAACCAGTCTGTGACTGCACTGAAGAAGGAGGTTCGCAGTCAGGGTCCCCATTTGATTTTACACTAACAAATTTAAAAATGAAAAACTGATAAGCAGAGAAATATAATTTTTATATTGCCAATAGAAGAGTGACAATTCCTCCCTCCCTCCCTTATTCAAACACACCATTGGGTTGAAGGCACAAAAAACCAGGCAGATTTTTTTTTTAAAAAAGGTCTATTATATTACATAATTTTAAAAAAAGACTTTAGAAACCCAAGCTTTTGGGACCTTCTGTGTGAAAACAATATACACTTGGGACCTTATGCATGCAATGGATATACTGTAGTTCCTCCCACAGGATATTGAAAGATTAACCAGATGATGGAGGATAAGGGCAATCACACAGCATTTTTTCCTTTAGCTCTTTCTGTCCATCATGCTAGGAGCCTCCCTGACCTGGAGAAACTGAGAAGCACAATGGCTGGCCAGCAGCACAGACAGCCTTGCTTGTGCAATTGCCTACTTATGCAGCATGAGACCAATAGAATTCTGGCCTCTGTTTTCTCACATTCGGACAAAACTTTACTAAGATATCTCCAATTTTGGAAGAGGTAGTCTGTGCAAGCAGATCTGGCAAAATCCAAAGAAACAAAACAACAAACATTTTAAAAAAGACAAAAGAACAGGTTACTTACCTGTAAACATGGTTCTTCAAGTGGATTCTCTATGAATACAAAC